CAGCAGCTGCCGCCGGCCTCCGCCGGTAACGGGGCGCTGGACGGCGCCGAGGAGGATCCTGCCGCCGCTTTCCTGGCGCAGCAGGAGAACGAGATCGCGGGCATCGAGAACGACGAGGGCTACAGCATCCTGGAGAGCGGCGAGGTGCCGGCGGCGCTGCACGTTCCGGAGGGCCTCGACTCGGGTACGCGCGGAGGGGGGCGCGGTGCCCGGAGGGCGGGGCGGAGAGGGGTCCCGGTCTGGTGGGGCTTCTCAGCCCCCCTTCTCCCTCGGAGGCCCTGTGGCTGGGAGGGAGCGGGACCCTCGCCTCGGGTTTCTGCCCCGAGCACACGTCGCCGGTGAGCGGGGCCTGGCTGTCCGGGGATGGTCGCGGGATTAGGTCTGGGCCGCGCAGGCGTGCCGACTTGGTCGTCGTGGGTGTAAGTTACCTCCCTGCTCTCTCAGACGGGGTGGTGTTTATAGTTTGTGTCTCCTAAAGACGCCTGGATGCCCAGGCTTGCCGAAGTGTAGCCTGCTGAGAACATTGCTGAGTAACTTTGATCTCATCTAATCCAGGAGCCTGCCTGAAATGAAGATCCACTGAAAGCACAATAAGTCAATATGTTGTGTTCTGCCACTTGTGTTTCTGTCTTAAGAGGCAGTGATCTTAGCCTTAAAGTACGCTAGCAGTTGAGCTAATGTTTAATTTTAGTGAGCCTCTAGCCTTTGTTCCTTGGTAACCTTTGTACTGAACATAAGAAAACTGACACTGCAGAACACTGTTATATTCAGAGGAGGGTGGCTAAGTAGAGGTTGGTGTGTTTTCAGTTAGTCTAACAGTGGCTAAAGCAGCCCTGAATGAACACTTCTGATAACGAAAGACTTGGGGGTTTTAACTGAAGTCTAAGTGGAAAGGAGTTGTGAATGTAGGATGCTGCTGCGCTTAACTGATGTTTCAACACTCTTGGAAGACTTTGCTTTTACTTGTCACTGGGTCCATAGGAACATATTTTGCTCTCATGTGTTATTCCTTTGTCACTTCAGGAAGATGCCACTCTTCTTCAGAATAAGTCGAGTAACTTTGCTCGCCCGTTCACTGTTGGAACATTCTTAGAATTAAGTTGTCATTATGCAACCTGATTTCTGAAATTACTTCCATATCTTATATATGAGAATGCAGGTTCATAGTATCTCTTGGAATAAAGCCCAACTAGATAAACTGAGTAATGGAGGCCTGTTGCTTCCAGTGCTTATTTAGTGGTAGCACAGCCCTTAGAGTCAGCTCATTCGTGAAGTTCAAAACATACGGACTACATGCTTCCTGTAAAAGGGGTGTTTACAGGGGAGTAACTTGCTCAAGGACTAGAGCATGGGCATAGTCGTTATCAGAACACCATCCTGTTTTGATATCAGACATAATTTGACTTCCTTATTCTACATATAGTGCAGAAGCAGACACAGTGGACACCTCCCCTCTTACTTTCAGAAGCCTCAGACAAGCATTATGCCTTATATGGTCTTCACATTCCAAACAGACTCTGGAACATTAAAGTAGCCATTTGACGACTAATTTCTTTAGAGAAACTTCTGACATTGGCCTTTCTCATAGGGTGCTAGAACCAACTAGATCCATACCTTCTCTACATGCACGCAATGTGGCTATTGCAGTGATTCCTTGTCAAAAAGTCAACTTGTTAAAGACTTCTAGATTGGCTTGATATGTAAAAGTAGTTCTTAAGCTGCTTTTCAAGAGGTTTTTCTCAAGTCACGTAAGTTCACTTGTCATGGAATGCAGAACTGTTATTGGAGAACTTTCTCTAGAAAGAGGGTCATAAAATAGTGAATATGATAATATGATCTAAGGATCTTGGAAGTCTAGGTGTGATCTGTGTGTCATCTTGCTTTCTTGTATGCACTGGGATTGCATTTATGCTCTGGCCTGTTAAATAGGCATACCAGATTGTGCTTGCGGACTTTTGGTGGTCCTATTTTTTAACAGAATATCCATTTGTTGACTGTTGGAGCCTGTACTCACCCCCTCCTTGTTAAAAAGTGCGGACTGCAGCAGTGCAAAATGTACTGGTTCAGGCATGGTGACAAATGAACTTCTGTTGCCATTTGTGTTTGAGATTTCTTATCTGATCAGTATCCTAACAAATATCAGACAGCTCTAGTCTCTAGTGCATCTTAGTTTATTAAACTGTTTTGTAATTAAGTTAAATAGGTGAATGCAAATTTCTTCTTGAAATAATACAAATTCTTATGTAAAACCTTAAGCATCGTGATCAGGGATTTGTGGATTTACTTTTTTTAACTGTAACCTTTTTGAACTCCTTATTTACAGGTCTGTTGGATAACTTTTCTTTCTAAATACTGGGCCAAAAGTCATAACTTTTTAGTTTATCTTGAGGCTTCAGAGACCATAAGGTAGCACTGAGAAAGGTATAATAAAGGGATGGTATCTGTTTAACTTGTATTTGCTGTCTTGTAGTGATACTGCATTATTATGAAGCTCATGGCAGAAAAACCTATTTTTCTGTTTACAAGAGAATACTACATCTATTGGGAAGTTACAGAAGCTCTTACAGCACAGCACTGTTGGAGATAGAGGAAGGTGTGGTCTAGTACTAGCCTGTTGATTGAAAATGAGGCAACTCTAATGGGTTTTGGTATGACAGCAGGTTAGAACTAAAACACAGGAAAGAAGCACTCTTCCTGACCTGCCTACCTTTATTTTGCACAGGCATGAGAATGAGTTATGGCTAGAAAAACTATTTCTTCCTCAGTTTCTTGCATAACTATCTAAACAAAAACTTTGGAGAAGATTCTTCTTTCTCATCCTCTTATGGATGAGAGGTAAGTGAAGGAGAAGCATGATCTATGCCCAGAAGAAAAAGGATGGGAAACTAGCCCTTGAGTGGTGAAGTTACTTAACTTTATGCCAGAATATATTAAACTTGGTTATGTTCTTCTATTGCTTTAACTATAGCTACTAGCTCACTCAAAGTAACAATGAAGAAGTAGAGTATTGTTTAAAAGAGGTGCTAAAAGTAGCTCATAAAAATACTTTTATGTATGGTCATATTGAAGTTTATTTCTCCTGCATGAGGATATTGTCCAAAGCATAGCTGGATAGGAAGACCTCAGGAGGAACTAATCCATGCATTAGGAAATGGTTGGACTTGCGTTAGAAGAGCTACCTCTGCAAAGTCCTGCCTCTGACTGTTCTGATAGCCGCCGTCTTTTGCATTGAGAGTAAGACTTCAGAGAGGCTAGTGAACAAGGCTAAGCAAACTTCCTTTTATGCCAAGCAATACTGAGTCTGGTATTAATGCAAGTAGTTGCCTTCAGAGTAGTTGATCATCGTTGTGATAAACCTCTGAAGCCCTATGTTGATTTGTAGGACCGAAGTGACAAAACTGTTGTATTTATCTTCAGGCTACCCAGCCCTTTCTTTTGTAAGCTGTGGTACATGTGGAGGGCACTGATTCTAGCTGCCTGTTTCTGGCAAGCTTGGCTGTTGTTTCTCTCCTGTGAATGCAAGGTAGCTGATACGGCTTATCTTCTCTGAACCCTTCTAGACTCTAAAAACTGTCTGGGTTGCTGTGTTCTGCTGGGTTCATTATTACTCCATTGTCAGCATGTGTTACAGAACTGTAGATGTTTGGACATGTTCTTTGCAACAGTACCCTTAGAAATAAAGCTTTATCTTAAGTTCAGAAGCAAAGACCAAGGAATGTGGATCATTACTAAATAGAATAGTTCTAAATGTGGAATGTTAACTTCAGGAGTTTCAAGATGCAATGTGATAGAATTGGATGGACTCTGAAGCCAGTAGAGAGCTCTCATTGTTCATGGCCAATGAAAACATGATGATAGCCGTAACAGTAGGCTTTTTTTGTGGGAAGTCAGGTATGAAATGACATGTTTCTGTGGACAAAGACATGTGATACACAACTGGCACTGATTACTGATATGAAGGCTGGCAAGCAGGTAGTTTTTCTAGACTTCATGCTGAATTGTACGAACACTGAGACTGGAGAGCTGAAATCAGAGAATGTTTGACTATTGGTCTGGTTCCCATTAGCGTACTTGCATTGGCATATGACAGCGTGCTGGTACAGTGCCATTTCCTTTTCTGCTTGCAGTATGCTTGGTCAGCATGCTGACTCTGCATCTTAATCACAAGTTCTAGGGAGCTCAAAACAGATGGGAAGTTTTGTTTTAATACTTTTAATGCATCTGACCTGGTGCCTTCTGGAAACACTTAACTCTGTGCCAGTTAGTGTCTGTTTTTTATGCAGAAGACAAGTGGCCCTAAGACAAACACATCTGTTTATCTCAGCTGCAGCCCTCAGCAATGATGTTGTTGCTTTTATCTCAGCAGGCTACCAGCCTGGGTACTGAAGACCTTAATGAATGTTTTTTGGTGTAACAAGAAAACTTAATCATGTTATCACAGTTCTTGGAAGAATCTTCAAGATTTATTAGCCCTCTCACCTAGCTGGTGAGTCAGTGCTTCCCAAGGTGTCTCTCTGAGGAAACAACTACCTTCCTTCCGGAGATGAGGACTACATATATTTAAAGGCTAGCCTCTCCTGGGTGTTGTAGCAATAAACTTGTGTCTCCAGCTTGATTGTCTGAACGTGTGAATTGCTCCCTGCTCTTCCAAGGCAGGCAGAGTGGGCAGCTGGCTTATTCAAGCTGCTAATGTCAATATGAGTTAGAGACCCTGGCTTAGCTTTAATTCATCCCTGTCAAAACAAGGTGAATGGCTGCAGCATTCGTATGTAGCACAGATGGGCTTAAATTGAAGGAGAGTGAAGCGTAAGCATGTTTTCTTTGTGGGCTTTAGTCTTCATAAACCTATTTAGTAGAAGTGTTAATTGTAGCTGTAACTGCCCAAGTCAGTGTATGTGCAGTGATCTCTACAAATCTGCTTTGAGAGAGCGTGTGAATTCTCCCTGCTCTTCCAAGGCAGGCAGAGTGGGCAGCTGGCTTATTCAAGCTGCTAATGTCAATATAGTTAGAGACCCTGGCTTAGCTTTAATTCATCCCTGTCAAAACAAGGTGAAGCTGCAGCATTCGTATGTAGCACAGATGGGCTTAAATTGAAGGAGAGTGAGACGTAAGCATGTTTTCTTTGTGGGCTTTAGTCTTCATAAACCTATTTAGTAGAAGTGTTAATTGTAGCTGTAACTGCCCAAGTCAGTGTATGTGCAGTGATCTCTACAAATCTGCTTTGAGAGAGCTTCTAGATGGAGGCTAAGTGATGCGCAGGGTGGCTGCTGTGAAGCAGACAGATGCTGTTAGCTTTATGTGCCTCTCAAACCAGTTCTTTTTGGCTCCTGTACCTTGCAGAGGAGTAGCAATCAAAGTCGCTACCATCTTTCAGATATAGGAGTCTAGTTACAAAATACTAGGTTCTCATAACTGAAAAGCTAGTTTTTTCTACTTGAGTCTTCCCGTACTGAAGCTAGTAACTGTTCTTGGAGGCTAATATCATCCAACTTAACTACCATGTTTGAACTGGTGACTTTACAGTCCTCTACCTAATACAGTTAATGATTGCTATTCGGGGCTCAGGGATAAGGTCTTAATAATACTTGCCTAGTTCCCTGATAAAGGAGTATGAAGAGCTTCCTGTGTGCCATTAACACTAGTGTGAAACTGGGGCATACATAGCCACAAAGAAATAGAGGATACAGCAGCAGAATGCTCTTAGTTTTAGGTGAATTACCTATTTTATTTAAGAAAGTAGTGCAAAATAGTTTGATTTTCTGCTTACTGTTGGGTGTCTTTGGTACAGTCTCTTCTTCCATTGAAGAGTGTATTAACATGGCAGAAACACTTCTGTTGATATGTTTATCCATGGTAGCATTATGGGTGAGACAAAAGTGGTAATATGACTTGTTTATATCACACAGGCAGATGTTACATAGCACTGTTCCAGAGAGATGACTTGCTGAGATTTAGCAGTTCTTGAAAATCTTGGTGCATGATAGCTTGGAAGCTATCAAACATGTTATCACAGAAGGTAGCAGAAAGGTGACTTTGCTAGGAATGTTAGCTATATCTTTTGAGCTGATTAGGAATTAGGACTAACTAACCAAACTAGGATAAGAATTACTAAGTGTTGGCTGCAGGATTGTTAATCTTCCAGGTAGAGACTAGAACAGTGGGAGTCATGCGTCTTAACTTCTGAACAGTTGTCTAGTAGTCAGTTTCTAAGACAGGGAGGAGAAAGTGGGAATAACTTTACAATGCTGTCTGTAGCAGCTTCTCAGCAGTATCAGCTCTGCTGTTTATGTAGTCTGAAGCATGAGCTCATGATGAAGAAATGGTGTTTTATTACTGGTTCTGCAGAATAATGGCTCACTTGGTTTCTTGTGCCTATCCGGAAAAGTGCAGAGATAAGAAAGTAACCATGCAGGGTATCACGTAACACTCATTTGCATAACTCCCACATTAGATACTCTAGTAAAGCTTTCCATACAAGTTACTGAAATCAGTAAATCTGGCTGTTCTGTCTTTTCTCAAATGGCTAAACTACAGTCACTTCTTTACAGGTGCTGTTGATGGAGTGGTTAATGGAGATGTCTATCAGGTAAGATAGAAGTATTCTGTACTTCGAATGTGCTGTTCTACTCTGAGAACTTTACCTTAATCTAGACTAATAACTTCCCATTTCTTGTCTGTAAGGTACTTTTATCTAATCTCTGAAGAGGAACTTCTATTCTGATAGCTCATCTCATAAAACTGTTAATGCTCTTAATATGCACCTCCTCTGAACTTAGAGGCAACTTAAAGCAGCAGTCCATTTTGAATTATGGCTTAATGGGACATAACCACTGTAAGCAGACTGACAGGCTCTGTGATATGACTTAATGTTGACTTGCCACTGACTAATAAGCTGAAAGCATGCTCTGACTACCTAGTTTAAAGCAGAGTTGTCTGAATTGCTTGTTCTTTAAAGATAATTCATGTGTCCTGGTTTTCGTATCAAGATTGGTCTTACAAGGAGCTGACTGAAAACATTATACACTTCTTAGTGACATAAAGTTGCATGAAATTAAGCTGCTGGCTAAATAGTTCAATCATACTATGAAAGCATGTTAGTCAGCCATCCTAATGACAAAAGGAGGAGATTCTTGGTTGTTTAGTGTCAGGGAGGAGTGAGGCATGCTAAGGCAATCGCTATCTTGTAACTGAATTTCACACCAGTTTGGCTAAGGCATTGTCATTGCCTGGTATCAGAGTTGGCTGGATAGCCCTGATTACATGAATGCTTGGGAACAGGGCAGCATATGAGCTACTTCTCCATAGAGCTTTAAGTGAATACTGAGCTTTGTGGAGGCACAAACAGCTTTCACTGCTGCTAACATTTTTATATCCTCACTATTGCTGTGAGATTGGTGGGAAAACTGTATCTTACTGGCCCTTTGTGCTTCCTTATACAACAGCAGGTAGATGAAATATCTTGATTTTGTGTTTGCAATTCTAAGTGACCAGCTGCTTTGGTTGATAGAGCTTCCTCTTAATGAGGAAGAACAGACTGAATGGGCTATATGTAACTTTTGTTTTGGCTACCTGCAACTGGCCAATTTATTTTGTTTTGAATTGCATGTGAAGCCTGGTGCTGTTGCACCAGCCTAGCTCCTTCTCTTTGCATTATTCCCTCATTGAGGGTTACAGGAGGTCTAAAGAGGGGCAAGACGCAGCCAAGTCTGTCATTAGCTGCAATCCATCTGGTACTCAAAGGAGTGGTATTTCTTAGGTCTGTTAAGAGTAGGGTGAACCAATAAGTTCTTGGACTTAAGAGCACCCTCTCATTAGCTTTGCGAATCTGGTGTATTAATGATAGCCCTATTCACTGCAAGTCTTTGAGCTATTTTATAGTAAAAAGTATGCTGGTACTCACACTGTTTTGATACTTAAATGTTGAAATGCCTCTTGTGTTCTAAGCTGCATACAGCAACCCAATTTCTGTAATGTCTTTAAAGGACATTGGCTTTTAATATCAGTTAAGCTTGCAAATGTCTCTAAAGTAGACAAATAAGTTACAGAGAACATTTTAAAATTCTATGCACAAAACCATTAAAAAATTACTTTCACAGCAAATATTTAAGGTGAAAGGAACTGTAGGATACAGTTCAGGATACTATACAACTGTATAGTGAGGTGCTAGGCATTGTCTTCTGCTTTCTTCAGGCGTAGAGCTCTGGCACAGTTTGACTTCCCAGTCAACTTGAATTTGTGTTTAAACCCTGATTGCTAGAGGCAGTCCTGTGTTAATTTGCTTCAATCCTGCTGTAATTTGTGGCAAAACGTTTTACATGTTAATGGTGGAAATGTGGTATAACATCAGATGAATGTGTTATGTGCTCAGTTCAAATAGAGTCTAATTTTATGTAGCTTGCAGGCAGTTATCTGAAATATTCGGTTGTCATGTATAAATGACATTACTATTCCTTCCCTTTAAGGAGAGTAATGGTCCAACAGACTCCTATGCTGCCATATCCCAAGTAGATCGACTGCAGTCAGAACCGGAGAGTATTCGTAAGTGGAGAGAGGAGCAAAAGGAGCGTCTGGAGCAACTTGGTAAGGAGAGTGTTTGTTGTAGTAGTGTTCTTGCTTGTGTGTAACTTAGTGGCAGCTTCTTAAGCAGCAGAATTCTAAACCATGGCTTCTGGCTCCTGGGAATCTAACATGCTCCTTGAGTTTGAGCAGCAAGTCTGGATGAGTCTTCCAGTAAGCAGACTTAATACTAGTGTAGGAGTCAGCAAGCAAGTGGCTCTCTGAACCTTAAGAGTATTCGTGTGGCCTGCCCTTTACTTACAAATAAACTGACAGAAAATGAACAGCTTTTATCAGCAGAAAAGAGTGAATAAATACTGCAGCCATCAGCACTTTTTTCATGGGATAAAGATTGCTCATTTTGTAATTGCTGAGGCCATCTGTTGTCACATGGATCTTAATCTAATAGCTAAGTTAAATAATGGACTAGTAACTAAACTACATACAGCTATCAAATGCAGTGATACCTACCTGTGGACAGCTTCTAAGAGCCTACAAACTGGTATGCTTTCCACTTACATTAGGGAGGAGGCTTTGCTTGAAATTGTTAGGACAGAACCTTTTGTACAGTGTGATTCTAGATAGAGCTGAGCATGTTGCTCCTCTTCTAGGCTAGTTACAGCAGATGAGCTTGTCCTGAACTGTAGGCTGGGTGTAAAAGCATGCTGAGTGCCAGGGTCCCTCACTTTATCTAAGCACAGAGGCTTTACTGAGCTTTGTTCTAACACTAGCATAGCAAGGTGACTTTCTGTTTTTGAACAGTTTGCAGGCAAACAGACTTACTGAATCCGAATTAGTCTACAAATGCCTATCCTAAACTGAAGTGGACTGTCCCAATTATGCAGCACAGGCGTTCTGTTTAGCTAATCCTCTGAATTTTCATGGTACTTAAGAGTTCTCATGGCCTAAATCAGGAAGTCTCTTAACCCTTACCTGAGTAGATCAAGCAACTGTCTGCACTAAAGTGCACCCAGAGCCATCAGCTGAAATGTTAGCAAGATCCAGCTGGAACAAACATGACTGACAAATCAATTTTTAAATATTCAGACGCGAACTCACGAAAACAGGAAGCAGAATGGAAAGAGAAAGCAATAAAGGAGTTGGAAGAGTGGTATGCAAGGCAAGATGAAAAGCTCCAGAAAACAAAAGCGAGCAACAGGTAAGGTTTCTCCAGCCATCTGAAGAGTTATGGTGCTGGATATGAAAGTAATGGGGGAGAAAGGTTAGAATACTTCTAGTATGTCCTAAGGCACTGGTCCTTCAGATCATTAAAGTAACCTCTCCTACTAAGAAATGGGTCTCCAGTGGTAGACTATCTTTAAGTTTTCTTAGAATCTAGATTAAATGTCCGAGAATAGCAAGAGAAAGCATTAGGGTAACGAACCAGAATTACTGAAGATTCCTTAAGACACAAGGTTTGAACATGGCCAGAAAGAGTTTGTCTACCCATTTGTTTGCATGCTACTAGCTGCACGGGTCTTCAGTGACTGTAATTACCTACCTTGAGACTAGCAATCTTACCTGCTAGCTGTAGAACACATGGAAGTGGCCTTCTAGTTAGTCTTTGCTACAAGTTATTTCATTAGATATCTTAAAACCTTTGGCTGCTCCTTTTGGAAGCGTTTGAGAGAGAACCTGGCTCAGTTCTGCTAGTGAAGAACTAAATGCTGACACTGTATGTTGGGTTTGAATTGTCTAATTGTGGGCCCTGGGGCAGAAACTAATGACTTGGCTGCTAGTCTAGTAAGCTCTTACATTTTCTTAGAGGTTCTCTGTGGAATTTTGACTTCAAACTATGTAAAGGTAAATATGATAGTACCGACTTAATACCACTTAGATCTCTACTTCTGACCTAGGGTTGCCAGTGTCATTCTGTCCAGTTAATCATCAGGGCTTCTGTATACTTTGGGAACCCACAGACTTCAAGATGAAACGTTTTTTTGAAACACCATTTTTCTTATCAAAATGGGCAGCAGGTTTGTCTTGAGTAAGTAGAGTCCTAGGTAGACTCTGCTTCTTACTAAAGGAAGAAAGGAGGCCTACACTTCCTACAAAATTATGGATTTCACACTTCCATTCACTGAGGTACAGTCTTTTGGTTGGGCCAAGAAAGGGAAACAGGATTGGCTAGAAGAGTCTAGTTGGTGTCCGGAGCTCATGATACCCCATAGGTTTATTGTGGCCAGTGTTTGAGTGCAGGATATGCATTCTAGAGCAGGGTCCTTTTAACAAGTGTTGCGCAGGAGTGTTTGGCATTCTCATCAGCCTGGTGAGGTCTCTCTCCTAATGATAGTTTCTGTCCACTGGAAGTAGCCTAATGCTAACACTGGGACTCTAGTCCTAAACTAGCTGGTTGCAACTTTTAGGATGCAGCAGAGCTTTTGTGTTACCCCTCTGAGTCAATGGCTTAATTGATACATTCCATGTGGTAGCTGCTTTCCTGTTACAGTAAGTCTAGGTGATGCAAGGTTAATGTGCTTGTTAAAACTGCCTTCAGCTGTGTTCCGTACTTCTCATCCTTATCTCTTTTCTCCTGCCTGCTTGCCTGCCTGTTGGACTACTTGCTACCTAGGGTGGCAGATGAAGCTTTCTACAAACAACCCTTCGCTGACGTGATTGGCTATGTGTATGTTGCTTAACTACTAATTCTGTTTGCTAGTCAACTAGGTAATGAGGAAGATGAGAAATAGCACTGAATGTCTGAAGGTGACTTCTGAATATTTTAGGGCAGTATAAGCTAATATAAGTAAATAGCCTTTACTTTTTGGACTGACTCTGATCTGCAGTATTAAGTGCAGCTTTCCTGTAAGGATTCCATACACTGCACAACATCCAGCACTTTCAGATTGAGTCATGCAGTATACATACCACTGGAATTTTGGTAATGACTTCAGTAGTACGGGTTTACAGTTGTTTCCGGGCCAGTGAACACTGCTTAGCAAGATGCTTTGCTGGGTATGTGGGTTAGTGTCTGCAGTCTCACATGGGTGCTGTATTTAGTCCTAGTCACTTCCACAGAGAAGCACAATGTTTAACTCTGTATTCTCTGTAATAGGCATTGAGCTCCTGATCTGTGCTCATTTGCCTGAATAATCAGAAAAAGATTCAAGCAATGCTTGCACATAAAGTTCTCCAAGCCAAGGAAGGTGGAAAGTAATCACCTGCCATAAATCAGGGTAGAAGAGGTACATGCATATAGAATTAGGATGCTGTTACAGAACAGATGAAAAGTACAAGGAGGTGGTATTGGAAAATCAGCATTAGCTGCTGGGAGGACACTTAGGAGCCGCTCTGTGTACACATTTTGCCAACCTAATGGATCAATGAGAATATAGCCATGACTTTCAAGCCCCAGTGAGTATGCTAGTTTCCGTGGGGTGGAAGGATTGCAATGTTTGTTGGCTTGTTCATGTGTTTTAATTTCTTCCCTTAATTTGTAGACTTGAATTGAAAGATGGCCATGTCACAGATTATAAGGTGACACCTTTAGAAGGTGTATTGGTGAGCCATGGTGTGGCTTTGAGCACATTAATATTGAAGGTCCAGTGTGGAATTCATTACCTAACTGTAGGTGGATGTAAACCAAGACTTGTGAAATGATGGATTTACAGGTGGTGTTTGACTTTTCTGAAGTCTCCTGGAGCTGATTTTGATAGATTTTTTTTTTTCCAGTAAAACCCTTGTTTTGATATATCCAATGCAAATGTGCAGTATAAGTGCTGCAGAATAAAATTGGCAGCCTGTTTCCTGAATGTAGACTAAGCTAGTAGTGCATGTTCAGCCAGCTGATCATCTGCATTAAACTCATTCTCATTTTCTATATCTGACTTAAACTTTCTCTCCTTGTTTCTTTTCTTCTATTCACCTTTAAGCACAAACATAAATCATCCTTGCTACAGCCTAGAACAGTTAAGTAAAAAAAATCTTCACTGCCCCTTAAAAGTGTCATGTCACATAAAGTAGCAGTGTTGTAGTGACCCTTGTCTTCAGTGGTGTCTGTAACCTTACCATCCCTGTGAACAGTGCTGAACCCTCATGGGAGAGTCATCTTCACTGCTTTTTCTGTACTGCTTGTTGGAGTAGATGGATTTGGTTTGATCTCTTGATGCTTACTGCTCTTGCACTCAGGCAGCTACCAGGGTCCCACAGTTCACATAAACTAGATGCTGGAGTGTTATCTATGCGTTGAAGCAATGCTATTGACAGCATAGCAGTGCCAAAAGGATACAGCTGGGAAGCCACTGGCACTAACCTGTGCATAATGTAAAAAGCCTCCTTAAAGTCTCCTTAAGGTGAGAGCAGGGAAAATGTGTTTATCCTGTGAGCTGACCTCAGACGAGTCATCCCCTCTGCCAAGATATGCTTTAGTCTATAGCACCCACAAGCATGGGATTCATGAATTAAATTCCTTTTGATTCATACTGCTTCACTACAGCATTGGGAATCATAGTTTTATGATGGCCTGTAGGCCTTGGGGCTGATTTAAATCCTCAAATGGAATCTCTTTTAAGACATGCTTGCAGGGAGTTGTAAATTTCTAGTTGGCAAGTGTCCAATATAAGCCATCAAGTGGCAGAGGCTTAACTAGTTAAGACTTGGGCATTTCTCCATAAATAAAATGCCTGCATAGGAGTACCTTACTTCCTGGTGTGTGGTGACTCCTTAGGCAAAGACTCAGTAACTATTCTTAAAACCAAACACCTGTATTCCAACATTTTACACAGCAATCCTCTGCACTGCTTGTGCATAGCGTACTACTGCAACCTACTTTCATCTCCAGGGTTGGGGCAGTGGGAGCTTAAGTAGCCATAATGTCCACAAGCAGCTGTCAGGTCACATTTCTTATGAAACATGCTGAAAGAAACTGCATCATGTAAGAGGGAAGGAGTGCCTTATATGTTGGGCATTAACACAAGGTGCATTGCATTGCTTTTAGGGCAGCTGAAGAAGCCTTTGTGAATGATGCAGAAGACATTTTTCCGGGCACTGAGTGGGAACGTGTGGCTCAGCTCTGTGACTTTAATCCCAAGTCTAGTAAGCAGGCAAAAGATGTGTCCCGCATGCGTTCAGTCCTCATCTCACTCAAGCAGGCTCCGCTGGTTCGCTGAAGGAAAGCACAATGGAAACACTACAAATGCAGTATCTTAACCTTACTCAGAGAAACTATGTTTGCAGTAATTGGATTAATTGTTTCAATGTTTTTTGGACCAAACCTCATGATGTATCTAGAGCTGATCATTGTTTGATTGCATGTTCTTCCTCATGTTTCCTTTCTGTGTCTGAAATGGGAGAACCTCCAAAACTGTAGTCTCTGTGCTATTGTGCACCGAGATGTCACTTCCCACATTACTGATATTAAAGATCTGTTAAACAGCAAAATGTGTTGACTTTGGATGAATTCAGAAGCTCTCCTGATCCCTTTTGACTGGAGCAAAGGGGGTATTTGAATTGAGTGTGAGCAAACATTTCTCTTAATTGCTAGTGATTTCACCTTGCTGGTGACTGACCAGCCAGCAATGCTCCTGATCTGAGAGGCTATCCTGCTTATCTCCATAAGCTTTCTTAAAGCTCTTGAGAGCTTTACTTTAAAAACTGCTTTCATATCCAATTTTATCATGCAAGATAGAAGCTCTAGGAAACTGGAGTAGCAGGCCTGTTCAGGAGCTTATCTCAATTCTAGCGGAACTGAGGACGCTGTCTTCTGCAGGTAATTCGGTCACTCCAGCTGCAGATCTTAGGCTAGAAATGCAGTACAGGGCACTGAGTAGTTAAAGCCTCTGATATTCTACTACATATTCTATTCTACCTTGTATTCAATGCTGGCTTCATACACGAAGTCCTGTTATGCAGAGGCTTTGGGGTGTTTTTGAACTGTGTCCTTGTCCTTACTGACTCTTGCGGACACTTTCTCCCACCAGGGTGGTGGACTGGAGATTTGGAGAGCAAGAGAAAGGAAGACTTGCTCTTACTGCTGCTCATCTACTTTGTTGGAGCTCTGTCTGCCAAGGTGGTTGAATTTGAAACAAACTGATCCAGAAAATCTCTGTTCTGCTGCTTCCTTGGCTCTCTCATCTCACCCAGCATTCACAGGGGCTGTATGGTAAGATAAGGCCCTTACCAGGGCCTTGCTCTGGTAAGACTTACTGTAGCTGTCTATCTTGTAAGAATAGACTGTTCAGTCTCATACATTATTTCACCATTTTTATCAAAGATACAGTAGCTTAACTAGTGTATGGCAGAACTGCATTAATACCTTTTGTGTACAAGCTGGAAGGTTAGTCTAGACAGTTTGAAGAGGGCTGCAGATGCAGATTAAAACTTACTAAGGTTCAGGGAGCTGCTGCACAGCAACTGTCTTACTAGCAGCTGTGTCCCTTTGGTGGATATTGAATAAATGGTTGCCAGCTGGGCTTCAGTAGTTAAGCTGTACCTTACTGTTGTCTATAGTGACTGGAGGTATTCTCATGTTTGCAAGTGTATTCACAAGCTACTGATGAGTGGTGATGAAAATGATAGTAGACTACAGGTCTGGAAGCTTAATTCCATGGAAGACTAAAGCAGGAATGTATTTTCTGAACTGCACAGGGATACCACAGGTGAGTTTAATAGGACTGAAGCACAGAGCAAGTCCATAGAATACTGATACTCAGTACTAGCTTTGACTAATTATGCATTCACCTTGACTGAAAACTTCCTTTCTTCTACTCACCGCAAAGCTCTACAAACAAAGGCTTCTAAAATGAATTGGTAATTTAATAAAGAAAACTCCACTGCATTAAATATACAATGTTTAAAATGTTAATTTGAATTTACTGGAACTTTTGAAAGATCAGCAGATTAGAGGGGTTCCTGCACACTAAGTTATGGAACTGATTAATCACCACATTGTCCTATCTCATAGGACATTTTATCTGTGCTAAGGGCATGGGTTTGAGCTGCAATCCAAGAAAATGGGCGAAGACTCTCAAATTCAAGCCCAAAGCAATGTTATAGAAGTTAAAACAGTGTTTTATAAGCTGGGTTTGCAGGGACTAACAATGTGTCTACAGTTTGTGTGCACCATCTAGCTGGAACGCTTAACAAGCAGCTCTGTGGGGTTTGGTTACCTCCTCTAGCCCTTGTGCTGCGATTTTGTAGATTCTCTCTTCTGCCTTAATTGTATATTCAAGTATGCTAGCTCACTGTCTCCCTCCTACCCCTTATATCATTGCTGTCACAGAATCACAGACTGGCTGAGGTTGGAAGGGACCTCTGGAGGTCATCTGGTCCAACCCCCCTGCTCAAGCAGGGCCACCTACAGCTGGGTGCCCAGGACCACGTCCAGACAGCTTTTGAAGATCTCTAAGGAGGGAGACTCCACCACCTCTCTGGGCAACCTGTGCAAGTGCTCAGTCACCCTCACAGTAAAAAAGTGTTTCCTGGAGGAACCTCCCATGTTTCTCTGCCCATTGCCTTTGGTCCTGTCACTGGGCACCACTGAAAAGAGCCTGGGTCTGTCATTTTTGCACCCACCCTCCAGATATTTGTATGCATTGGTGAGATCCCCCCGAGCCTTCTCTTCTCCAGGCTGAACAGTCCCAGCTCTCAGCCTTTCCTCACAGGAGAGATGCTTTAGTTGCTTAATCGTCTTTGTGGCCCTTTGTTGGACTCTCTACAGTATATCCATGTCTCTTGTACTGGGGAGCCCGGAACTGGACCAAGCACTCCAGATGTGGCCTCCCCAGTGCTCTACTCAGACTTTCTGTGTCTGAGAATTATTTTAGATTCTTAGACCTTGTGAGCAAAAGAATACTCAGCTTTATTTGGGCAAATCCAAGCCCTTGTGTGTGCTTCTGAACACTGACTTCTTTCTTTCAGAGGTCAGCATCTGTCGCTTTGTTTTGTGACTTCATGTGACAATTCTGTGCTACATCTGGCCCAGTTGAGTGTACTCATTCCTCTGTTTACTGGCCTTAACTTCCCACTGTTGCAGCTTATCTCCATAGCATGTAGCTGATGCAGAGAACTGAGTCAGTCAGTGGAACCTAGAAAAAAAACTGGTCACTTCCTATCCTTCAAAGAAAACCCCCAGGTGCATGTGCATCTCATGCAGTGTTGAGAGAGAAGCTGCAGGCTCCTGCTGAATACATCTGGGTGTAGAACTTGCTTTGTTTAGCTTGTGAGCAGGTGGCAGCCAGCACCCAGCCAGTCTGAAATGATAATGAGTATTTGTGGAGAAGAAGAGGGATGGAGAGGTCATGGGTTCATTAGAAAGCAGGGAGCCTGAAAATGACAGCACTGCACCTTCATCCTCTTACCCTCAAGAACATGGGTAACAGTTAAGTAGCCATAAATCAGCGTGCTATGGCTTGCCTGTTTCTTGCTGATGTTTTTTTCTGAGCAGCTGGTAAAAAGGGAAGTGTATAGTTTACTGGCTTGTATTTTAGAATGGACAAGGTGGGCATCTGTTGTTTTTGCCAAAAGAGGTTTCCTCCAGCAGTACCTGTCATGTGGGGAAGCTTGTTCCTTTGCAGAATGGTGGTGCTGCACCAGCACACTGTGGTACTGGGTGGTAGTGTGCCTGGGGCTGCACACTACCTCAGATCCTCAGATCTTACAAGGTTACTGACAACCCAGGCCTTTGTGGTCTGACTTCATAGGAGATGGTTCATTGAAGTGTTTGGTATGTTCTAATCCGAGAAAGGAAGAGCTACTCAACACTTGTTCAACAGGGGAGTGCTTCATTAGATCTTGCACCAGTAATGCAACTTTCACTGACAATTATGTATGGTTACAGTGTTGCAATGCCTTTGGTTGCAGTTGCAAGCATGCATTTAATCTCTTGCTTCATGTGGCTGTTCACTGGTCACAGCTAGTTACCATGTGCAGAAATTTTACACCGCTCAAAGCATGAGGTATGGATGAGGTAAAATCTTACTAGCTTTTTAAAAGTGCTGTATCCATACTTCTCACAGGCTTGTGAAATTAAAATTAAAAATAAAGGAACCTTCGGAAAAAAATCAGGATATTTCTTCAAAGTTTTACCTTAAATAGAGTCTTCATACACTTTTAACTAAGCACAAATTTGGCACTTTATTTGCATTTAAAATTTCTGTGTAATGTGCTTCATGCAAAAAAAGATGGAAAACCTAGTATTCAGAACACTTGCAGATACAGAGTTACAGCAATGGTGGTCTAATAGTATAAGCAAGGCAAAAGTGGTGTGGAGATGTGTTACCGCTTTTTAGACTAATGGAAAAAAATGGGCGCTTTCAAGAATGCAAAGCTTTCTTCAGCTAGCAGTAACAGCCTAACAGTAATTTGTGATTTGTTAAGGATACAACTGATACCTATGTGAGGTCAGAAGGAGGGTTGTGAACCCAAAAGCTTCTCTTAATTATGACAGCAGCAGAAAGAACTGGCTGTATTACTTGTCTTCTCATTGCCTTGCTCAATCTGACAAAGCAGTCATCTTTCTTTGACTTTATACAAAATGGCATTGTACAAGCAGTGGGTGTTTTGGGCACCATGTCGAAGTATACGGTTTGATCTTGTTTTGTGTGAACTTGCCAAATGAACCAACCCAGCAGTGCTACAACTGTATGTGCAAAGTTAAGCAAGGCTTAAGTTAAGAAAAAGTGGTTATGTGCAAAGTTAAGAAAAATTTGGCTGTGTTTTCTTCAGAATTTCATGAGCATTTTTAGTTGTTACTAAAACACATTATGTGCCCACAGCGCAAAGCATCTGCTTTCAGATTATGAAGTAAACATAGCTTGGTGCCAGACTAAAACAACTGTACTTAAATACATAGCTACACTTCAGCTGCCAAAGCACTAGTTCTGATGTGCCTTTGATAATTGTGTTTGGAAAATGGTTTATCTGGAGTGCTCCAAGGGGTGTACAGTCCAGGTGTTTTACCCTTACTAATGCCTGTAAGCTCTCCACAGCATTTGAAAGGGACACAGCAATCAGATTTCACTGATGCAGATTGAATCAGAATCTTGTCTGCACCTTACTGTCTGTGATGTGTTTCTGTGATACAAACTTGACAGTGCCTCCATTGGTAATAAGTCCTTCTCACAATTCTGATACACTTAAACAGAGGAAGGACAGTGCTTCAAGACCACCAGAAGGCTGAGGCACTTGTTAATTTTGAGTGTCTGGATGGCAGATCAAAGACTCAAAATACTGAATAACTAAACTTGCTGCTCAGGAGACCAAAAGAAATTCCAAACCTCGATTAGCTATGTGGCTTGCAAAGCATCAGCAATGATCTGTAAAAGGATAGCTAGCAAAACTCAGCTGGCCTCCTCATGGTCCCAAGTTGTGGCTGTTTTTTTCTATGCTTAGGCAGAGCTGTCATGGACAAAGCAGTCTTTTTGCACCAGATGCAAGGATGAGGAGCAATGTGGTGTAGGTACTGATAGAAGCTTACATTCGTTACATGAATTACAAGCTACAGCACTAAGAACTCCACTTCAGTTTTAAGTCACTTTCCAACTCTTCGGCACTCTGCAGTTTACGTACTGCTGGTACTTGCTCATGCAATGCTGATCATAAACATGCATGTCCACAGGAAGGTCTCCTGCCCAAGCTCTTGAGTGTTATATGCAATTCTGCTTAGAGGGCTGAATAGTGGCGTTCTTGCTAAGGCTTCAGCACAATTAGGATACCATACGCACTTAACCAGGGACCCTGCAAAACCAAACCTCCTCCTACAACAGGTAGTTGTACAACAGCAGCAGATGCTGCCAATGCAGGTAATGAGAAGGCATTGCTTCTTTAGGCTCTGAAATGCTGATAATAGTTGCGGAAAGAGTTCAGCTGTTGTCTTATGCTTTCGCTCCCCTTCTTCCTGCCCAGTAATGGATATAAAGGCTGGTTTGCCCTCACTGGACCCCATGACTTTCATGGGATGGGCTGCTCTAAAGGACACAGGGCCAGCATCAAGTAACAACAGAGCACAGTACTGCAGCTGTTCTGTGGAACATCTGATGTTCACTCACTCCCCCTGGGATTGGATACAATTGGGAGCTAGTGTCCATAAAACCTCTGGTCCACAATAAAGTGCCTGAAGTGCGAGGGAGGTTTCTGAACAGGGGAGGAAGGAGAAACAAACAAAAAAAACCCAGAATTATGCTATTAAATATGTTTTTTTTATTCTTTTTTATTTTATAAACCCACAAACTTCTCAGGGTAAACTGCAAGGACTTCTGCACCACTTGCACATACGCAGCAAGTTCTTGTCCAGCTGACAGAAAAAACATTTTCAAAAGCATTTGAAGAACCATTGTCTTAACAGGACTAGACATTAAAGATGTTTAGAGTAAAACTTTTCAAATGTGTTTTAGTCTTTCATGTTTTCTCCATGTCTGCACCCTCCCTTCAGCTGCTAGGGAAAAACATACCTGGAGTCTGAGATATCAAAAATATCCTAGCTTCAGGAGCTCTGGAAAGCAAAAGCCTGGTCCCACTTTTAGTCAGGCATTCCTTGTGATGCTGGCAGATGGAAAGATCGTATGACAGGGCTCCTCTCTGTTAGAACCTCAATACTGTTACTCCTGACCTGAGCTACTATCACCGTAGAGCAAAGCCGATTTCTCCTTGACCTCGTCATGGAGCTACCACTCTGGTATTGAGGTTACTGGGAATCACCAAGTAAACCAAGCCACATAGGAAAAGGAACTAAGAACCCCTGGTGACATAAAGCCTATTACAACTTTGTAAATGGTTAAGAGCCAGTATTTGCTGATTTTGAGAAAAACTATGGTATAGAGGCTGCACAATTATACCTGGAGATATCAAGGAGATCTGGTGGTGTTTCTAGAGTCTGCTATGAAGATGTGAGTTCTCAGTAAGCATTCCTTGTGGAAGAGAGGACGAAGTGAAGGCAACCTGTGTAGATTATATCCCAGAATTAGCCAGTAGAGTAGTTCACTATACTAACAGCTATTCAGTCCAAGATTATTGTACAGCAGAGGGCAGTGGTTGCAGAAGGTTGTTTCATTTTGGTTGGAGAAGTTCGAGTGTGGAAATAGCCCCTTTTATTCCCCTGTACTAGTAATTACTGGGCTTCTGAGAATATCCTAAGTGGTGGCTGAGTTAGATGTCAAAATAGGCCATTGAATGCAGGACAGACAATGGTCTTGTGACTGTACCTCCAACAGGTATCTTCTTTCTGGGATAGCTGATCAGTTAGATGGGTCTGTTTTTCAGTTTCTCCTTGTGTCAAATAGTTGTCATTACTACAGTATCTTGAAAGTGTGCTAAAAATCAGCTGGATGAAGACAGAGCTATATATCAAGAAGGACTAGTTAAAGAAACATAAACCATGGTTTACTTAGGCACGCCTTCACTGGTATTTGACATACTTTGCGCCCAGGCTTCTGAATGTCTTGAAGATGAGGATGAGGCTCAGATTTGACTCTTCATCCTGCAAGCTGATGGTGAATGCAGGAAAAGAACAGTGTACCTGCAGCCACCAGAACTGCTGGGGAGATGCACTATGTCACTCTGCAGTGGAAGAGATTTCTTGAAAGGTAGAGTCTTTATGCATCACATATAGCTGAATTTCAGCTAACTGGCTACCAAAGAATAAACAGTCCCCTCTCTGCTGATTTGGCAGACAAAGTAGTAGATGAAGTCCCTTGAGAAAACCCCAAACAATAAAATTGAAACAATTTACTATTGGCCATAGCCAGAAGACAAAGATGCTCACTGCTACACTTGTCAGTTTGTTTGGACTGCTCTGCAGGCTGTAAGCTCCGAGATCTTGAAAAGACCATGATCTTTTTCCTTCGTATGCAAAGCTTCTAAAATGGGACTCTGCCCTCTAAAGATGATGTAATAAGTAACTGCCTCCACCAAGTCCTTCATGAACCACAACTTCTAGGTGCAGCCTTTTTGATTGTAGAGGCAGCTTCCCTCGTTTCCACCCACTGAAATTACTACCTGCTATTGGTGATTACATCATACTTACATTGTGGGTGGAAGCCTGAAAACTGAAAAGCTGGTCACATTGTAGGCTTCTCATTTCACATAGGTGGGAAATGAGATATGGATCCCCAAATGTTAGCTCTAATTTGACACACCATACCCATATTCCCCACCTTACATGAAGATATGCTCATAAATAATTCAGCTGCACTTAAAGCAACATACAGGTTTACAAGAGGTGATTAAAAACAACAGAATTGCACATTAGTTCCTATGAAGTCAGATGAAATTTAGGAAAAATACAAAAAGATAATACCTCAATTATGAAATGCTGAAGTAGTCACTAACAATTCAGAACACTACTCTGATTCAGTAGCTGCTCTCATCAAAGAAAAATTTTGGGCAAAGTATTCCCTCCACCCATTAGGAATCTGAATAGTCCATTTCTATAATTCTTCCAGGTACCTAGTATATTCTACGTGTAGTATAATCCAGTACCAGGCTAGCAGCTCCAAGAAGAGCAGGATCTGCTAGATTTGAGACCACCACATCCACAGTTTTAACAGAGGACAGAGCCTGTCGATTTATCACATCTTTGACAGCATTAACATAGTGGCTAGCTAGAACTCCAGAAAGGATCACAAGAGAGGGGTTCATGGTGTGCAGAATGTTCACAACTCCAAGACCTAATGCTGTCCCAGCTGAAAAGATAAAATAAAAAGAAATTAAGTAGAATACTCAAATCAGTCCAAGCATCAGTTGTTGAAATAGGTCTGTTAGCAGCAAATGACACTGTCAGGAAGGTGTTCTTTTCCATATGGCAGACAGTTTTGAGTTTATGTTATCAGACAATATGAGTTCGCCATTAATTTTTCTGTTAAAAGTAAAAGAAAAAAGGGCAATTTTATTGCACAATAACTCATGATACAGGTGTGAAAGACAAAGCAATGCAATACCACTTTTGTAAGCTAAGAGAAAATAGGAAAGCATTATTCTACCATCTTAGTGCTATCAGCTATGTATGAGGAAGAGGGCTGTGTTTAAAGCTAGCAAAACAGTAAAATATCCCATGTAAAGTAGTATGTAAATTGCCTTTGCTCAGACTAGCCATTCACTTACCTACAATGAAATGTCCCCAAATTTTCTGATACGAGAACGTTGAGACCTCACTTTTTTTAAGCTGATCTTTGCAGAAACTTTTCATCTTCTCATTTATTGGTGACTTTTAATACACACTTCGACTCACATTTCCTCCAACATTTATATTTAACATTTAATTACCGTTAGTAATTTTATATAGAGAGGTCCTCAATGTGCAGAGATGTGTTTGTAGTGTTACAGTGCATTACCATTTCTGTATCCCCAAAAATCTTATCACGGGAGGGTTCCACACTTCTGGCTATGTTCTCACCTGTTCTGAGAATGCTGTCTGCTTTTGTGTTCCCAAGTTTAGCCGCTTGAATGAGATGTGCAGCACTAACAACCTCCTCCTTCTTCATTGACATTCCTTCTACTAAAAGCAGATCCTCTGTTTGAAGAAGAGGAGAGAAGCCAAGAGAAAAAACATGGTGATGTGGTAAGTCAAGAAATGGAGGGTGACAAACAGGCAGTTAAGATCTTTACATCTCTTACTTGCAAACTGAAGCCTGAATCCTGAGCAATCTGTTCAACCCTGAGTTTAGCCAAACCGGTCATATCCACAGTATTCAGGGAACTACTTGTAGAAGCAGGGCATCAAACTCAAACAGTTATAGTATGGTAATTCACTAGTCTTGTCAGCCCCAAAAGTTAATAAAATAAATGTTCTCAAACTTATCTAAGAGTGAGAAGCTATTGCTGAAAGACAATCACTGTGAAACCAAACCTCACAGAATGTCTGTCAGATTACCTTACAGCATGCTTAAAAAGAAGAGGCTAAACTCTACTACATGCTTCTGGTAATTTTGAGACCAGTGGTTCCAAATGTGGCTTGCCTGGGTATTGCCATCACTGAAAAAGAATTGTATTGTACTACGCAGGCTGTGGCAGCTCCTGGGTTGGCCATACACAGGAATCCTATCTGGTAGAAAAAGATGGCAGGTCTATTTTTCTTAACATCATCTTTGCAAATTTCTTCATATACTGCAATTTAGTAATCACGTTTTCAAAAATAAAGTACATAGATACCATCATGCAGTTTCTTAGCTTCTCTCTGTAATGCTATTCCAGAGGCATATGCTTCAATACATCCTTGGCTACCACACAGGCACTCTGGTCCATCTAAAGATACAACAATATGCCCAAGCTCAGCAGCACAAAAAGAACTGCCATGGATCAATTCGTGTTGATGAACGATTCCACCTCCGATTCCTGCAAAGATATGAAAACTTCCAAAATTAAAAACAAAAAAGAAAAAGATAAAATACAGTTTTTAAAGGCCCCAATTCTGCAGGACATTGACATTTGCTTATTCTAACACAGACAAAAAAAAAATGTGCATCAGTGGTCTTCTATACTGGAAACCAAAAATTACTGGTTATTGAAAAACTCTTCTCTGTTCGACACACCTAATAAGCAAGCTCATAGCTCCCTCATATTCATTCATATGTATCATATATATGAATTCATATATTCATATATGTATCAAAATGGTATATAATGCTTCTCCTTTCTTAAAAAGCCTGTGGATGGTACTGACAGATCTTTTAAGCTTGTGAGTCATGCTCTTTATGCACAAAACTAACCTTTCAAGTGGCCTCAAAATTTTGCATTTCAGAGGAGATGTTTTAATGCTGTATTTAGACAGCTAAATCTGTGTGCTAAAGAGCCAGGACAATTAAATCTGCAATCCTCTGCTGCCCCTTCCCAAACCCTGGGTGGGGATTCATCAGCTAGTTATTATTGCCACCATTCTAAAGGACTATATACTCAATAAAGGAGAAAAGTTACCCCACATTTGCATTTGAGATATAATAAGCATCATCTCTCATATTCAGTTGCTTATCTTCTAGGTACATATCCTGATCTGACATGTATTTCTGCAAGTGGAAGAGAATTAAGCTATAAAGCTGAAAAAAGCAAAATTATTCCAGCTAAAGTTGCTCAGATTTTCCTTACTTTGAAAAAATGGTTTGCCTGCATAGCTGTATCAGCAGAACTTCTTTTATCAAGAAACCTATACTATGCAAAAGGTTTCATTTGTCTGAATAAATTAAAAAGTATCCTAAAAGATATAGTGACAAAAGGACTTTTGGTTTAAGAACCTAACATATTAGGGCTTTGCAGGCACAGTGGTGGTGTTTATGCTTTTAAGATCAGCTGAGCCTCTGAATGATGGTGCTGGTGTTTTGACTTTGGGTTTCATTGAACTATAACATACCCACCTGTACCAGTAATGAGTGTTACAAAATTTTCTATTCCTTTTCCATGACCAAATTTCCTCTCTGCTAGAGCAGCACAGTTTCCATCATTGTCCACCCAGACTGGCAGGTGCAGAGCATCAGATACTGGAGTTCTGAGATCCACAGAGCTCCACTCCTGAATGAGTTTTGTAGAGTGAAGCACAATTCCTTCTCGGGGGTTTACCCGTCCCCCTGTGGAAATACCTAGGTCCCAGAAATACAGGAGAGAAAAATCAAAACTAAGTCTGTGTTACACTTTAAGTAGAAGATCTATTTTTCTCTTTGCAATGACAAGTATTTTTATTTCTAATACTACGCGTTGAAGCAGAGCATGAAAAGTAAAAATTTCTAAGTATTACTGGCATTGCAATTTCTGACATGGAAAGATAATTCCTAGAACTCCATTGCTCTAATCACAACGCACCCAGTATCTTAAGACTAACTAGCTGGGTAATGGTTAGTGTTAGTCAGAGAGTTAATGCTCCTACTTCAGGCAAGATTACAGCAAATCACTTAATACTTGTGTTTCTTTTTAGTCATCTATAAAAGACATACAATAGCAAACTGTACAAAATAAATTGTTCAAACCCTTCAACAGTAGAAGCGTCCTGAAATTTGCTGTAACTCTCAAGATTTAGAATGACTAAAAATAATCACTGGACTTTGAGTAGTAATTTCTACTTAAAAATACACTGTTTTCCAGAAAAATCAAGACGTGTGTTCAGAGATTTGCTACTGAACAGAATAATGGCTAATAATAGGCACTATTAGCCAAACCAATTTTCTCTAGCTGGAGAGGCTTCCAAAGTTGATGGACTCTGTCAGGACCTCCAAAAAGTAAGCCACTCTATTATGGAGGTATTTAGCTCTAGACAACAAAGTTTGAACATTTTATCTATTGTTCTTGTACAGAGATTATATAATTGTGTCACTTACCTAACGATGTTCAGAAAAAAAGAGTCCCAGGGTTAACATTATAATAGAAAGCAGCACAAAAGCTACAAACAAGCAGCTGAATTGAACATTAAAGCTGTAAGACCCCCAAAAATCTCACTTTGTAAAGAACAAATCATCTGAGAACCTGTCAGCAAGTACCTAATAGAAACGACATTCCCAATGTCAATCGTGTGAAGGTCTCCCTAGGATTTTAAGAACCAAATATTTATTACAACAAAACCTTATTTAACACTTAGTTGCTAACTCAGCAATAGCTTAGTAAAACATGTCTATTTTTTCTAAATGCCATAATTCAGTAATTGATGTAAACAACTATGGGAATTAGCAGAAGCTATCTCTTCATTCACTTTTCTCTACTATCAGCTCCAGAAAGATAACATAAATACTGCCTAATAGCAGTAAATAGATAGCTCTCACAAGTACCTCTATGCAACATTTGTGTATAGATCTGGGTCTCCTTTGGTTTAAATTTGTGTTTTGTAAAAGTAAAAAAAAAAAAATGTAACAGCTGCTAGTGTTCTTCAGGCCCAATAGTCTTTTACTTTTTCCTCATCTTCATAATAAAAATAGCAGTAAATAGATAGCTCTCACAAGTACCTCTATGCAACATTTGTGTATAGATCTGGGTCTCCTTTGGTTTAAATTTGTGTTTTGTAAAAGTAAAAAAAAAATTTAGTAACAGCTGCTAGTGTTCTTCAGGCCCAATAGTCTTTTACTTTTTCCTCATCTTCATAAAGCTGTTTTTAATATAAATGCTTTGTTTTGAGTGAAAAAAACCCAACAAAAATAACAAAATTGAAACCAACTGCAGAGCTGTTGCAATCTACACTTATTTGATCATCAAGACAAGGAGATGTTGAAAACTATGATTTTTTTCCAGAGTCCTACTTTTTAATCACTCTGAAAACCTGTTTTGTATTAGTGGGAGTTCTTCAGTCAAAGTTATGCTCATGTAGCTAGTATTTTGAGTGCTGACAGCAGTTTATAGGACTAAAAGGAGGTAAACACTTTGTTTCATTGCTTTCTGTTAGTAGCTCTTTCTCCTTATTCATTTCCAATGGTTATTACTTTTACCCTTACCTATGACAGCTGGAAGAAGGCCAGTGTTACTGATAAAAAATCCAGGATTAAGTCCAGCCCTTCTGCTGCGTCTTGCAAAAATTACTCCAAAGTTACAGGAACTCTCCATCTTATGATTATTAGCCTTAACAAAATTACTAGAATCTAATACATTAATTATTCACATAGGAATTATATGTCATTCTCTAAAGAGAACTTTCAATTTCAGCTAGTATTCTGATTCAAACTATGAGTCTGAATGAGGCAAAGAGCAGCTAACAAAAATAGCCAAGTAAGAAATTTCTTATTCTGTAGCACAACTTTTCCCCTCATTACTCAGTAATTGAACAGTAAGCAGTCAGTCACAGAAGGAAAGGGGCTGAAGAATAAATAGAAATGTAATTCTTGTAAAATGATAAAAAAAAGGAAAGTTTTTCTCCATATATAAGCCTCAGTTTATCGTTTCATTATCCTAATAAGTGTAGCTGACTGTAAACTGTTCTTAGATACTTACTATAGTGACTACCACAGAGTTTACCATCTTTTCTACAGGAACTATGAGGCTTTCAAGATTTAGCATTTGGACAAGATAACATAATCTGGGTGGTTAAGTCATGTGTATTACCCAACAGATAGTCTGAAAGACTTGATCTGAAGGTCTGACACATTTCTTCTTATGGCTTTGCGTACTTAACATTGTTTTGAAAAATACTTTTAAAAGAAGTTAATTTTAACTTTTCTTCCTACTGTGTGATTCAAGTAAGTTTTGGTCTGGAGCAAACTACTTCTCTTTTGGAGCATTTCTCAGCTAAAATGAGCATTTTATGTCCTCCTTAAAAATCCAGGACACATTAATCGACATCTTCATAAATAACTGTAATACCTAAGACCAAAGCTCCCAGTCATCATTAAACTGAAGAAGTCCTGTCTGCTGTAAACACACAGTTTAACTTGAACTCTACTACAGTGTAAGTAAACCGGCCATCAACAAAAAAGCTGCTTTGTCTCCGTTAGCTGCAAATTTAATCTAATGTTTTAGCCTTTTTAGTCTGCCCTAGTGTAACTGAGGATTCTGCTGCACAGTTGATCCTGGCCGTAAAAAAAGGCGTACAGACAGTAGAGGAAACTTGACTCAGCTGCAGTTGTTTCAAGAGCTGTTACAATATACACTAAGCATCTGACTCACAATTCCGAGACTGCAGGGAGCTTCAAAATCCACAAAATCTATATACCACACATTTTAGATATAGTTTAGATATGACTTAGCAGATTGCTTTCATGGCTGTAACAGACTGAGGCAACTTCAGTCTTTATACTCACCTTCTCATTTTCACAGACATTTAAAAAAGTTATTGTGTTAAGAATATAGTTTAAGAGCTTAAAATACACAAGATCCGTTTTAGAAAGGTGTTTTAAATTAATCAGTAGTGATTTCATGTTGAAAAACTTAGATGAAAAGACAAAGTTAGTATTTGTTAACTTACCTACTCCCAAAATTCTGCAGTTCACATTTACTGCCTCCGATGCAGCCTCTACACACATCTTTAGAATTAATTCTAGTCTGTCTTCGTAAGTTTTAGGGTTGAGCTGGGTATACTTCTTAACTATTTCACCCTAGAAATTAAAAACAACAAAACATGCCCCATATAAATGTACTTCATGATGAAATTTCTCTTCAATTTAAACTACAGGTCAGCTTGAAAACGGAGAGTCGTAACTTCTCTCTTCTAAAAAAACATACAGATGCATGCCTTAGATCTTGGTCCCACAGGCTGTTCTGTGCAAGATTCCTGACAACTCTGGGGGACAAGTTTGCAAGATTAGGCATTACATTCTGCTTCTGTAATCAACCTCCCCTATCTGAAATAAAATACATATTTTAAGGAACACATGGATTATGTAAGGAGATATCACAGGAGCTACTGGAACTGTTGTTAGGAGTAAACCGTGATACAGCAATGCACTTAAGCTCAATACTATAAAGTGTTAAAAAAAAAGTAAGAGGGTAGCAATTGCTAAAAAGGACAGAAACCCCATAGTGCTTGAAGAATAAAATGTTTCCAATTGGACTACATGGAAGTTTTGCAGTGTCACAGACACTGCTGTTTTACCAGTAGCAGGAGAGTCAGCCAGAGAGAAATGCTAGAAATTTCAATGCAAAATTTACTATCCTTTCAGAAATAAATTGCTTTCTTCTAAGCAATTATACTTCTGAGTCACGTGAGATATTTCTGGAGTACCATCTACTGTAATGTATGTTGTACGGGGGAGGGAGGGTCCAGGAGGAAGGGATTATTTTCAACCCTAGGAGTCATGCAGTGGTAATGAAAGCATTCATTATGCATGCCTGAATCTGTGGGTACTAGGGAACTAATCTTAATGTAATGTTAATATTGCAGGATTAGGCCAGGAAACTGCAGAAGATATGCTGCTTAGCGATGTTACTCTCCCTGTTATATACCCAGTACTCTACAATATATCTAAGTGAACAGCAGCGTATTAGTACAACTAAGCAAAAAGGAGTAACAAAGACAGTCTATATGCAACATGGTTGAGTCGTTGCCAAAATAACTTAGAAAATTCTGAGACATCAATGGTTTGAGTATTAGATCCCACCATCTCAGCATCACATCAGCAGTAGGGTTTGGGGATTTTTATGACGTTTAATTTCCTCTTCACTTTTGGAGGGGGAAAGGGAATCAAGAGGAAGTTATTCTGCAAGGCAAGGCTGCAGCAAACATTATCAGAAGACACAACAGCTTTTAAAAGGAGCTTTTGAAAACTCAGTTATTTTCTTCATGAAAAGAAAACCACCTTAAACTCCGCCATTTCCTGTTAAATGCTTACATCTGTTGTACAAATTTTATTATGCAAGTCTGATCCTTTTCACTCTGACTTGCTAACATTCCAACTTTCATAAATGCCACCTCAAGCTACACTCCGCAAAATGGACAGGATTTTTTAAAATTTTTTTTTTTTTTTTTTTGTGTTGGCAGAAAATGTGGTGTCGATTTTACTTCCAAAAAATTACGCTTTTAAAAGTTTTCTTTTAGATCTTAAAGATCTGCCAGACATCTCCTTTTAAATGACGGCAAAAATTCTGGACCATATCAGGTCAATTTACATAGCCCTTCATCTTTCTGCAGGCAACTTACTTTTCTTTCTGGGTAACTATGTCTAACTGATCTAGTTATCTGGAAGTATGCAGTGTAACAGGAGGAGTAATTGTCCAATACTGTTGAGAATAAAAGCCAAAGACTTCTTAATGTGAGTTTTATTCACATCTTTGAAGCGCTGCATAGTTCAGGATTTTTATGGGTTTTTTTTCTCCCCAAACAGGAAGACGGGTATCTAAATGAGTTAAAATTCTTCAGTCCTAACTATCCTTTCGTTTATCTACCTGGGTAAGAATTATTTCAAATGTTTTTACACCATCACCAAGTAATTTTTATCCCATAAGCTTGAAGCTCACAAGTTTAAATAGAAATTTTGTGGTATTTTCATTGATCTGGATAATCAGCTGATGGTCATGGGTGTTATTTGTTTCACTATACGATGTCTTTGCAAGTGATCTGGCACCAGATTGATACTGATGCTATTTTGGCAGCCTCACTTGCTGTTTTTTAAGACTTCAGTTTTTATGTTTGCTAAGTATGAACATTCATCTTTCTAAGTTAGATGTCAAATATTTGTGATATGTTGTCTATGGCACAGCTATGCAAGCAATGCATACTTATTAGTGCTATGACACAAGCAAAGGAAAGCTTCCTAATGTGCCATTACCAGAGAAATGGGTTGAGGAACTTCTAACCATGGAGACCATTAAATCACACAGTATCCCTAAACCCGAAAATCTCTCCGTACAGCCTTGTAAAGGCTGTAACTTCAAGCCTATTTCAAATGGGTTACTTTTACAGGAAGAGAGGCACTTCCGACTCAAAACTCACTCAATCTTTAAAGTCTCTATGAATTCTAGTGTATGTATCAAATTCTACTTACTCTGATGATGGTATTAAACCATAAAGCACCTCTTTTCATACATCAAAGGACACAGTCAACACCATTCAAAAAAAAAAAAAAAAACAAAACCCCTGATAGGAATTTTAAAAGATCATCATACAATTCAAATCCACTACCTTTTTCCACTGCAAGATCAACAAACTATAATTCAGCTGGTTTTAAGAGGCCTTTTAAAACCAGTCCTACTATTTTGGCAATGAAGACACCATGCCCTTCCAGACTATCTATTCCAGCCTTCTCTTGCATTGACAGCTAAGCTGGATAATAAGAAAAGCTTCAAAATAATTTTCCCTTCTACTGTTTTAATACTTTACTACTTGTTCATGCGCAAGTGAATCTGATTTTTCTCTTCATGGAAGAGGCTTCTACATATCTGAAGGCTTCCCCCCACCCCCAGTCAGTTTCCTCTTCACTAGACTAAACAACTCTAGTTTTTTCAACTTTTCCCTGTTTTCCATGTCTGTAATAATTATTGTTGGTTTTCTCCTGATTCTCTCTCCAATTGGTCTACATCTCTGTGGTATGATGCATTACAGTGAACACTGTTCCAGCTCAGGCTCAGTACTGTCTTACTGATTATGCTTCTATGCAGGAAGATACTGAGAAGTTTTGATTACTGGCTGTTCTTCTCTTGGTAGAAGAGATGCAAAATTCTGTATCCTGAACCCACCCACAATGAACCCACCAGTCTCCCTCAGTAAATTGCTTTGCTAGATGCTGGTTGTTGCTCAAAATAGTTCTGTGTGTCCATTACATGGCTGTGTAAGGCAGCGGTGAAGTAAAAAGACTGCTCTGGGAGCCTTTCCCTTTTTTGCTTGACATATAAAAAGTTGCAGGGTGAACTGAGTCAGCTTTTACGGCAAACCAACACATCTGAAAGTTGTCCTGTTCTTCAAGGTCTGTATGACCTCCCACAAAGAGGGAGCAGCTAGGACCATGCACCAGCAAATGGGCTTTGCTAGTTTAACAGCAGCCTTAGAAGAGCAAACCAGCAGGCAAATTGTATCAAGACCGTATGAGAGGTGCAACAAATGAAGGAAAATCTGCTTTACCCCTCAACAGCAAAAGCCAGTAGGACTGCTTTGTTTTGGAGCTCTTTTGCATCATAAGCCCATATCCCCACTGTAGGAACAAAACCACAAAGCCCAATGGAGTCTGCAGAATATCTAAAAGCACAACAGAATATTTACCTTCATACTGACAATTGCTACTCGGAGATTTGTTCCACCTAGATCCACAGCCAAAGCACTCTGTGTCTCTAGAATATGGTCAATATCTTGAGATATATTATCTTTGACAGGAGGAAAACAGAATTTCTTTTGCAATGGCTCTTTGAGGTCAATAGATTTGAGGAACTTCAAAATCCTTGGAACAGCATTACCATCTCCGTATATTTTTGAGCTATAATATGAAAAAAAAAGATCAATTTAATTGGAAATAACACTGCAATCTATAAAGTGTTATAGACATATAAAGTGTCACTTTATATGACAGAAGGCTGTAACACTGTCATTACAAAACTATGATATGGCTATTATGACAATACTGCATCTCACAGTACTTGAGTCTGTCATGGGATATGGTAGGTAGTGTCAGTAGTTTGAAGATCACACAACAGATTGTGCAAGTTGGGCATTAGCTCCATTTTCGAATACGAAACATGGAATTTAGAAAACTGGAAAGCTAATAATGCTGAAAAAAAAAACATAGGAGTTTAATGAAAGGACCCACATAATAAAGCTCTAAAATTATGGAAAGTTTATGCATGTGCTATATGTCCAGACAAGATGTACTTATCACACAGATGACAACTATGTAATAAATGGTACATTCATGGCAGTTTGCAACATACAAGTCTGGTTTTACAATATCATCATACGTAGTGTCAGACATTTGGTATTACAGAGTTCAGCTTTATTATTCTATTGCGGTTCTTAAAAAATATACTTTTGATTCTTATCCTTAATTAGACAAATATTATCTCTCGAAGATTATAAGAACTTAAACGTTAAAGAACTGAGGGTCAATACTGTATGACTGAAGGACAATGAAAAGTATCTTGCTATAATCCTGCAGCTACCCTGGAAGCTTTCACTCAGGACTCTCTATGCTTCATGCCTGAGGTCAATCCAGCTATGAAGTAGTGTGTCCTTCAGGCACAAGTCAGAGGTAGGCAGACAGGATGTTCTCCCCCATGCTGCTCCTATGGAACAAGCTCTCTTAATCATGCTAGTCTAAGCTAACATATGAATTTTGTCCTCTTGACTTTCTGTTGGATGTTAAATTACTAGTTATACCAAAACATTACTAGTAACATTTTGCTCTACAAATACTAATCTGCATACCAGACATTGTACTATGATTCTGAATGAGGCATGTGAAATGAAGAATAATTTGTAACCTCAGACTAGCACATTAAAAGCACTCCAATCAAATACGATGAACCACCTCAGGACTAAATGCCTTTTACTCTACTGCTTTAACATCCCCTCCAATAAAGCAAGATGAATGTACTTACCATGGATACTGTTTACCAAACTGCAGCTGTAGAGCATGCAGAATCTTATCCTGCGTATCAGCATCACGAACATGAAGAACATTTTCACCTAGATGACAAAAGTTAACATAATAGGACAGGTCAGCTCCTCAAATTACATTAGATGATAAGAACTGCTTTAGAAATGAAGAAATAATTATTTTTGTTTCCTCTGAGCATGAAAGACTCCAGCCAGATCAACACTGCTCTTCATCAGTTATATGCCTCCCCTTGCTCCCAATAAAGCAATGGTGACTCCTATGCTGTCATGCATTACAAAACACTAGAGAATAGAGTATTAGCCTTCAACAGAATTCTATTACTAAATTTAAAATGCACGAATGAAAACAGGGGGTAAATGACTATTTGTGTCATATCTGCTTATCTGTGAAATACCACAATACAGTTATTTCCTGACATAGTGAAGAGTTCATATTTTTTGAAGTGAAATTTTAATACATGTCAAACATCAAACTAGCTATAAAGGAAAACAATTAGTTGCCTATTCTGCTAAATGGAATCCACTGCAAATGAAGATATATTTTAACTTGTCTATAGACAGAAACCTCATTATCTTACATAAAACACACAAGTAGCACTAACATGATACAGGAATAGCCAGCAAAGCTTTAAAATGGGTCAAAAATTATGTTGCACTGATACTGCAAGATGGCCTCTGTCAAGCATTCATTTGACTTTACCCAGTGGAACAAAAAAAAAATCTCAGAACCATGAGGAAATTAAAGTGGTTAAGCAAACATGTACCTGTTTCTCTTCCTGTCTGACGTGTCCCCAAGTTGATGACAGGTGTACCAAATGCTCCCACCTCTCTGACACCACAACTGCTGTTACCAATCATACAACCAGCATGAGCAACTAGCTGAATGAACTGGTCAAATGGAACATGCTTTACTGCCCGAAAATTGGGATGATGTTCAATGCCCTTCTTCCTCATCACCCGAACCATCTCTTTGCTTCCTACAGAAAAATGAGGTAGAATAAATGACTCAAGTTCTATTGTTAAAGTGAAAGTCCAAACATGCAAAGGAGCTAATAGCTGTTCATTGAGTTGCCAGCTCTGAGTTGTTTTTGTTCTCTTTTTATCCTCACAGCGTAAGTTGCAGAGCTGGGCACGTAAGCCAAGTTCGATCCCAAAATATACTGCAAAAATGGTTTTGTAGTTTTTAGTCAATTTAAGACACACTAATATTGCTTCTACATGTCACATGGTTTCCATTCATCTTCCTCACCACACTGAAAAGCTGGAATGTCCTCCAGCAATGTGAACATGGAGCTGCAGCAGATGCATACCTGATGCTGAGACAATCTGATGCTATTTCCATCAGGCTGGAGGTTCTGGGATAAAAGCATGCCATAAGAACCAATGGATTGGAGGTTCTGGGATAAAAGCATGCCATAAGAACCAATGGATGTTTTGTTCTGGGATAAAAGCATGCCATAAGAACCAATGGATGTTTTAAAGACAATCTGTTACGTGTCCCTCCGTCATGAAGGTATTTTACTCACCTGCATCCACATTAGGGAATAGAACAAGTGTTCTCTTGTTGAAGGAGATGAGCGCATCTAGTGTCAGCTCAAACATCTTTATGGAATGTTTAATATCTGTGGTTACAGGATGTTGCAGAGCAACTATATAATCTCTGGTTTTGACATCATCACCTGTCCAAATGGAGTCCAAGAAAAATTTTTTTATTGGCATACAGTAGTAAGAGGAAGGGAGGACATACTTTTGAAACTACCAGTGTGAAAGTCTGAACAGTCAAGGCACTGAATGGGATATCTAACACATAAATTTCAATGCTACAATAAAACTCAAGGGAGTACCAGGAGGATCTAGCTTGTTACTTCCCTCTCTAAACAAGTCTCATAACTTTAGAGACCACTACCTAAACCCCAACAAACCGTTAACTTTCAGGCCTACATCTAAAGCTTTGCAAGACTATACCAGGGTCAAGAGTCTGTTCTCACACCAGTGTATTTAATCTGGAATAACATGAAAGCCCTGAAGCTGCTCAGGTTTTCTGACAGTTCTCCATCCTCAAGCAAAGACTTCATTCCCATTGCTTTAAAAAAGTCAGTCATACTTGTTTTAGTACATTTGATAAAAAGTTTATCTGCAAAATATTCACCTACTGATGTAAGAAGATTCCAGCTTCCAACTACACAGGTTAACATGCCATAAAGGAGATTGCTTTGCCAAAGATAAAAAGCAAACACAACCCCCCATTGTTTACAGGAATTCTCTGTAAGTTAATGAATATGAAACACCAAGAGCCTTTGGCACGTGTTGCCCTGTTGCAGTGCATGCCTCAAAAGAATGTTCATAATATAAATTCTCTTTGATTTTTTTTTAGATTAGCCCTGAACAGCTCTGATTCTATTTAAATACATCCTTTACACCAAAATAACTGTTCATATAAGACTGTTATGTTTTTAAATTGTTCTGCTCAGAGAAATTACCCATTTCAGGAGTCATTTTTTTGATTTGGCAAAAGGACCAGATGTGTTTGCTAGGACAGATTTGTAGCTTTCCAGCTGTACATGGTATAACACAGATCAAAAGAAAAAGAAAATGTAGGAAGAAAGAAATACTTGATGCTATTACCAAATAGACTAGTTTTTTGAGACAAAGCAGGTTGATGCTTGATAATAATCTCCAATTAAGCCAACTTAAACTTACTAACAAGAAGTCCGTCTGTTTCTTTCCTGCACTTTTCTCAGAGCCACTAGTCAACAGATCCCACAGACTGATAACCTAGTTACTGAGTTTGTCTAGTGTTGAAAGTCATATGAAAAACATAAGAAGTGGACTGCTCACCTAGCCACATGCATATAATACTCATGAAGTCCTTATTTTTGGCAGAGAGAAGCTTGTCATATGAGGGACAGCCTGCTAAAAGGATGCGGTCATGGTCTTCACACATGGCTATCAAATGCTGCTCTGCACTCCTTGTGCAGCACACGTGGTAATGGGCCAGTTTGGTTATAGCATGTCTGATAGAGTCATCAATGGTCCCACTGACTTCCCCACCTTCAATGTGAAGAATGCGAATATTCATCAGGGCTGCAGATGTGGCCAGGGCCAAAGCATCAAATCTGTCCCCGTGAACTATCATTATGTCAGGTTTCAGGCGGTTCAGGACATCTGGTAACTTGACTAATGCAAGGCCCACTGACTCCACCATAGCTGCCTCATCCTCTCCTCTCACAATGGTGTGCAATCTTGTATGAATATCGAAGTCATCTTGTTCAATCATACGATAGGTATTACTGAAGGTAAGAGGAAAAAGGTTAGCGTAAATACAACTTAGTTTGAGAGCAACATAGCTTGATGAAATAACTGCATATTAGAATATTTGTACTAGGTTTGAACAAAGGCCTGCTTATCACATCTCCTTCATTGAGGAAACTAATTTTTAAGATTTTAAAAGAACATTCTCATCCATACAAAGATCTTCCCTCATATTCCAAGCATCAAGTTTTTCTAGACACCTTTAATGAGGAGCCTTGCTGAATGTGTTCTGGAAACCCTCAGAAATCAAACTCTTTGTTCATGTGTTTGCAGAGCCTTTCAGAGAATAGATATGGCATAATTTCCTTTCAGGAAAGGTATGTTGACTCCTCACCAATATATCAACTTTGCTGGACAAATGTATAAATACAACAGATATAATGCAAAGCTGAGGTCTGTATGTTCAAGGAAAATATCCTGCAACTAGCATCCATTTTGTAGATTCTGTATGTGAGTTGTATCAAGACTTATATACTCATAGACTTAAGAAATCACTGCACAAAGAGGCCTTACGTTCAAAGGAAACAGGCTTTCGCACTAAAGAAAAAAGGTTTTCCACACATACTACCAGCTTCATTCCACGATGAGAAAGTTAAAACATACCTTGAATACTGTGAATTGTTATTGTTTACAGTTACATATTTGAAATGTGAAAGATCATTCATCTCTATAAGATTACCTGTCTTCCACATTCACTAAACCTGACCTAAGTAGTCTGCACGCTCTGGCTGGAATAAGAGAGGAAAAAAACGAGAAGTTTTCCAATTTTGTCTTCAACCCATCTGACACATTCACTGTCTTATTCACAGGATTACTGTTTTAAATCAGATTTAATTTTCATTAAATCTACTCTGCTACTCACATTCTGCAAATGAAAATCTCACGATCTGCAAGCTGAGCAAAGATAGCAAAGACTGTAAAGTGCTCCAGCTCAAGTAAAGAAGCAATCTCCATTCTGCGTAACTAAAGAAAACCCTAACTCAATTCTGCTCACTGCTGTAACACACAGGATATATTCCTAAAAGTAACTTGTCAGGTAATTTTTTTTTTTTTTTTAAAGGCAAATCCTTTTTATGTGACAGAGTGAAGCAGCTCAGATTTTTATAGCATAAACTGCATTACATTTCCAACTCCATTTACAACTACCCTTCATAGACCTGCCTTTTTCTCTACTGTGTGCATTTATCTCAAAAAAAATTCTTCTCTTTTCTTCTATATTCCTTCCCTTCTGAAAGGTCAAAATCCAGGGAACAAACGAGACTGCATTTTTGTTGTTTTGTTTCTTTTACTATCGTCCAAATGTTTCAGTAAGAAACATTTCACAGGATCACTATCATTTGAATTCTGCTACCATTGATTACCCTACTCAAATCACTGGAACACATACATTTTGAGGACCCACTAATTCTCCAGGATCCCCCAGATTAAGAAGTGCAGGGCTAGGTCCCAAAAAAAATCCCCAAGCAGTACCAGGGTTTAAGAATACTTACCACAAAGCAACTAACAGCAACATTTATCAGATCAAAATCTCTATTGCTTTGTGCATTACAAATCATTTACATCAGAGACAGGTGTTAAACACCTTGGAATTGGAACAGTAATATTTCATATTACTTTGCACAAGTCTTGCAGACAGCAAAGGGTTCAGGACTAAAGAAAAATCAGGGCCATGTTTCTCCTCTTCAGCAAATGAAATGGGATTACCTTATTTCTCCAGTCAGACAGGATGCAATTCAACATGCTAACCTGGCAAGAAGTTTGATTGGGGGGTTTTTGTTTGTTTTTTTTAAATCAGGTTAGTTTTGTGGTGTTGAATTCACCTTGCCATGTCATGTTATTAGATGGAAACAGCATCCAGTACAAAGCAAGGAACAGGGCACTATACTGAGAATGGGCAGCAGCGGAACTTCCTGTCTTAGTAGTTTGAGATAATATAACTTCCTCACACCCTAACTTATCAAGTGCCAAAATTTCTCGTTGGAAAGTCCAAAAAGTGTCTTTACTTGAAGATATGCATAACATTTCTAAAAGCTCAACAACACTGATATGCTTACGCTAAAGTCTGATTTTGACTTGCAGAGTAAGCATTTTCCTATCTATTTCACTTACTGGGCCCAATCTGGTAAATGCAGCCTGAGCAAAACCAACCAAACCACCACCACAACCCCGACAAGAATATGCATGCTGTTCCTTCTGCCCCTTCCCTCTGCAAATAGGAGAATATTCACCTGGGATGTGGGAAGTCCTTCCAAAGGAAGGGATTTGGACCAAGATATTCCAACATCCCAGGCAGGTAACCTGACTGCTTACTTATAGGGTGTTATAGAGGGGACCCTAATCTCTCCTGCCAAACCATACCTAATATATCTATCAGTTATTCGGTGCTTCTCTCTTTCTGACAAAACCTTTCTTTCCTCCACAATCCCAGAAGTAAGAACTAACAGTATTCCCCTGGGATATGGAATATATAAGTACTTTCTCCAATAACTATGCAAAGCAGAAGAGCTGCAACTTAAAATGACTGAAAATTATCTTTTCTCTGTGAAAATTAAAAACAGTAGCACATTTGCATTCGATAATCACCAGATTCTTAGGGAAGTCTGAATTAATTGAGTTTCTCACTTAATATAGTCTGTGATCCTGCTGAAGATCTCAATTACAGCATTTACCCAAAACTTTCTAAAATTCCAAGATTGGATGAAAAAAAACCAGAAATACGCAATCTCAGAAGGAGCTGCAAAATGAAATAAAATCTGAAAAAATACATTTAAAATTCTGTTGTGTACATTCACGATGACAAGGATTTTGTTACCTAACATTCATGATGTTATCACTAACACCCCACAAACAGATTGGCAGAGAAACAAAAATTCACCTTACCCGTAATCATCAATCAGGTGGGAACCAAGCACTACGACATCAAGCTCAAAGAACTGTGGTTCTGCCTTAATACCAAACATAATGGGAGCTAATTTTGAATAATCAGCACGGTTGCAAGTAGCAACACAAACACGAAGTTTGTGGTTGTTTCCATTCTTCTCCATGACTTCCTTTTGTTTCTGTTTTGAAAGATTCTTGAAATACACTTCCTGAATTAATAGGGGGGGGGGAACACACAAAAGAAGAAGCATTAATAATAATCTTTAGAGCAAGTAAATGGTACACTTCATGAACAGCATACACAAGTGCAGTCCAGAATTGTGGACACGTACTAACTCATCCACCAATAACAGACAACTGATACTTTACAGTACCTATCATTAGAAGATCTTAGAAAAGCACAGATTATTTATTTTTTTAGTTAAAACTCACTTAATTTTAATACCTCTATTTCTATAATTCATATAGAAAAATTCTATATAAACAGTATTTAAGTATTACAAAGTTCAACTGTAATTAAACAGTAAAATGACTTTTTCCTGTTCAGATGGAAACTTCTGTATAAGTGGAAAAATTACTGATGTCTTAGTAAATGAAAGAAAAAACATCTCATATTCCAAAATCTCACATTCCAAAACCACACAATGGAACAAACTGCTAAAAGATACATCCACTGACAGACTGTGAACAAAAAGAGAAAGTTTTTGCCCGAGTTAGTTTACGTATCTGTTAAACACACTTTGGTGAGCTAATGACTTCTAAACCCTTACATGCTATTTTGCAGGCCAAAGTACATCAGATATTCAATAATACAGTATTAGGTTACAATAAGACAACAACTTTTGGAGACAAGTAGACAAATAAGGATGATGATTATCATCCGGGAATTTGGAGGCTACTGGGGAGAAAAAAAAAAAAGGATTTCTGACAATTGAAATGCCACAGAAACTCAGTATTTTTACAAGCAACATCAACAGTTACTGTAACAAGATGCTTTCTCCGATCTGATTTTACAGCTTGTTTAGTAGCTGATTAAACTATGTAATAATTTTTAATCTATACCTATCCTCAATTTACCATTTTGCCTTGCTGTTTTTATTGTGGGTTGGTTTTTCACATTTAGCAATTGGAAAAAATGTGTTAGAGAAAAAGAAAAGCCTATTTAAAAAGGATACAGCAATAACTCCCCCAAAATAACCCAAATTTCCTCTCCCCCCAAACAGAAACTACTAAGTTGGTAGCAGGGGGTATCAGACCAGCTATTTATAAGTTTTTTGTTGTTCTCCTTCTGAAAATAACTCGATTTTAATTAAGTACCATCCTTTTGGTATGAAATCTGATGTTATGTCAGATTTTTACTCCAGTTTAACAGCAAGTAAACTTTTTCCAGATTAATGCACAAGGATTGATCATCTCTGACTCAGATAGAGCAGTATCAATCTCTCTACTGGTTTTGACAGCTGGGGAAGCTCTTTCTGAGAAGCTGCTATGCGAGCATGACAACATTGACATTCAATTTCATGCTCCTTTTATATTACATTTAATTTTTTTCAGTAACCTTTTAAAAGAAAGGCTATTGTGACATCCCACTCTTACAAAACTTTAAAAATTCAGCAACTTTTCAAATATTTCCCTATTTTTAACAGATATTAGTTTAGGTTTTGTCACACATAATGAAACAATGTTTTGGTATAATAGTCATGTTAGGGTGATCAGGAACCTATCCCAAGTTGTCAAAGGTAAGAGACATTTCTAGTCTCCACTTGCAATCCATTATGGCTCTGCAAAACTATGACTGGCAGTGATGTTTTTTCTAGTTTAACTCCAATAACCATGATTCCGGAGAGAGCAGTTTACAGTACCTTTCAGAATGAAACTGAAGTTGCAAAAAGCAAAGACACCTACTATGACTAAGCTCATAAGAAATGGCATTTCTCATTTACTCAAGCAAAGCAGCTGTGGCTACGCCAACCAACTTCAGTAGAACAGATACAGCCTGGAATTTCAGCATCTGATTACTATCATGACAAATTAAGCTAAGTTCTATAGATTCAGCCATAAAGTAATAGATATTATTCGGTTTACATTGAGACCCTTCTTTTGAATTTACGTTTGAACCTTACTTCAAAAGTGGTATGTTAATTAATTACTGTTTTACACTTTCAAAGGGTCAGATGATAATCCTTCAGGCAAATTAATTATTTCTTCATGCTGAAAACATCTGCAGTTATGTGCGTATATGATGGCTGTTTCAATTTAATCTTGTCTTTCTTTTTGTCCAACGGGCTTGAAATATTTTAAAGGTCTGTAAGAAATTCAGTACCTCATGTAGAAAAAGTAGAGAGAGTACTTTGCAGGATTTTAGATGCTGTGTAAAGGTAGGTCAGAGAGCATGTTACCCTGTTATCACTGAGTGAAACCTGAAACCACATTAGCTAGATCAGATCTAACAGAACCACTGCTTTCTCATTTCTAGAACAACCTCTTTTTGGAGATGGTTCTGAGCAGGACATCCTGTCATTGCATATGTAAAACCAGATACTAATTCAAATAAAATCACGTTCAAGATGTGAAGCCACTTCTGACATCCCTATAAGCTTGTCTTTGAAACTGCACGAATAATGTTAGTATAGTTAGAAGCAAACCTTCAAGTCAGCCACCGCTGCATACGTATTCTATACTATATAAATTGAGAAGCCAAAGTAAAGTAAAAGGGCACAGTATAAGGAAGTGACAAAGTGAACTTACCCAAAGTCTGCTTACTCCAAGTTACCTGCCTGAGCTAGAACCACCACTTCCCTTCTCACAAAGCAGTTATCTTTTCATTTACGCAAAGCAGGCTTTTGAGGAGCAGAATAGTTTTCTGTCCTCCTTGATCTTCAAGCAGAGTCTAAAATTCTAGAACCCTTCAATCCAAATCCAGAAAATACCATCTCCTAAAATAGGAAGTCTGTAAGTTGTAAAAAAAATAAATGTCATGGTTCACCATAACTACAGATCTACCAGAATTGAATCGCTAGATCACAAGTCTTTCTGGCAACACAGATCACATTTAATTACACTTGCTACTGGCTGTAATAATGGTCTCTTGAAATAATTTTGGAGGTAGATGTGGAGATACTTCAAAGGCATATGAACTGACCAGAATCGAAAACAATTCATGCTATTTGTGCATTTCAACTTCTGTTAACATTAGGTTTCAGTAAGCCCCAAAGCAGAATTATTTTTAGTACTGCCTTAAACCTCTGTAACACAATAGTTTCAAGAAGTTGCACGTAAGCCACACACATGCCTTGTGCAGACACAATTTTTTCTTATTGCTGTCAGTTTTAACACATCTTTTTCTGAAGAACCGGAATATTTACCCTAGCAAAAGGACTGATAACAATCCAATGTAAATGTTAACTACCTGGGGAAATTCACCACTAATTAAACCAGTTCGTTGTTTTTCAGGTTAAGTTGGATGATGATTTCTAAAGAAACATGTGATGTATTTCTACATCAGAGTTTAAGAACAGACAGAATCCTATCTTGACTCTGACCTATTCTGAGCCTGTAAATACCAAAATAATACCAAAATAATTCTGTATGTTCAAATAGCATTCACTCTCAACAATGGCAAAGTCCCTTCAACCATTAACAGTATATTCCTTCAAGCAGAGCTATAATGTCCTAGCTATATAATGTTAAGTTTGTTGCCACTATGATTTTAGAATTTATTAACAGGTTTTGCAGGCTAATCATCTCTTTTCAGAACTGTTCACTGAAATTCTTTTAAATAATTAATCACTAACAGTTGCCTCTTAGTTTCTAAGTGTTTGATGACATGCTGACTTTGATCTACACAGCCTTCTCTAGTCTGGGATCTTCCCATTCCAAGGCCTACCTCTACGTTGCTGGGACTAGTAATCTTCAGCAGAAAGGAGAAGAAATAAAACAGTGCTCCATGAAATAATACTTGAAATAATTAATCTCTACTTGTTTTGGTCTACTGCTCTTCCATATCCCACCTTAAGGCTTTTACATTATTAGAGGTTCAAGGACTTTTTCAGACTGGGGAATTCTGGGCCAGATTTTACAGCAACCATGTAGCTACTATTTCTGTTAGCAGTCTCAAGTGCATGAGACACCCCTTTATCAGTGTTTCACAGACAAATGATACCACCTGTATATTCTACATTCACATTTCTAAAGTGATGATTTTCAAAATCAAAGAGCCTGGAATACTCCTCTTTACAATCTCTACACTCTGCATATGCCTGTGTGCTTGTGGAATCATTCGATCTTCCCACTTGCTTCGCTGTGGGGTATGCATATAGGCTATTCTGCCCAAAACTCTTCCCACACCATGTACTAGTATGCACACTCATGCCACCCTTCTTTACTCATGGTGCCATTGCTTCCATATCGCCTGTATGCACACACATCGGGGGGCTGTTCCTGCAGGGGGTTCAACAACCCCCCTGAACACATCTGTGTGAGTAGAAAAAGCATTGTCACTATCACCCTGCAGATTTGTTTCTTGATCACCCTGTGCACGTACTACCCCATGCTGAGGCGAGAAACCCTTCCCGCCATTTCCCCTTACGAATGGGATCAACCTCTTCACTGTCCCCCTTCCTCGTATGTATGTGGGATCACGCCCTCTACACCTCTGAAGTATATACATATTTATTACCCAAGTGTGGGGTCTGCTCTTCTGTACCTCCTTTCCTCCACACCTGCAAAGTACCATTCCTGCTGTACACCCCCAATATACACTAGTGCATACCTCTCCATGGAAAGCCCTTCTGCCGTGCAAAGTACACGTGTGCACACACCCGTGTGCAGGGTCACTTCCTCCATAGGCCTGTTAAATCCATGCGTGCAAGGCCAGCCCCTCAACACACCTCCAAGACGCATTAGTGCACACGTGCCGTTCTGCGGACAACCCTTCATTCGCCCCGATCTGCACACGTGTATACACCCATACCTACGGCCATTCTCTTTATTCCCCCGGAAAGGCCTCCTGCGCACCCTTCCCTTTGCAGGAATTACAGAACCCTGTCTCTCCCCGAGACACATACACGCACACACGCCTTGGCAAGGCCGTTCCCGCTGACCTCCACGACAGACCGGGCCACGTACCACCGCGCAGGCCCACGCCCCTCATTCCCCGCCGCACACGTTGCACACTCTACATGCTTCGCCCAGCACCCACACTCGCGGCAGCACCCCAGGAGAGCATGCGCAACACCGCCCACGCGCAGCCCCACGCGCAGCGGC